CACTGGAGCAGCTCCTGGAGCCACTCCCGGAGCCACTGGAGCAGCTCCCGGAGCCACTCCCGGACGGCGAGCCTCATACCTCCCCGCGCATGCAGTGGAGCATGGAGTCCTGGGAGAGCTCGTCCATGGAGGAGGTCTCTGAGGGCGCTGCAACACAGGGGAGCGGGAGGGCCCTGATCAGCCTCAGAACAGACGGTTGCGCCTCGCAGGCAGCGCCCCGCGCGGGGCGAAACGTATAGCCAAAGACGGGCATCACTTTCCAGAAATGTCCCTTGCACTACGCACACCTCACGGCCTACAGATCGTTGATGCGGTCCTCCGCTTCCTGTTTGATCCGAACGAACTTGAGGAGGTTCCGCTGCCAGTGCGCATGCTCACCGTGCTCGTGGTGGTAGAGGGCGGAGGGCTGCGACGAGGGCGGCCCGATGGGCGGCGGCGCCTTGCCGTGCTGCCCGCTGAACGAGTACGTCAGGTGCAGGTTGATGTGGCCGCCGAACGCGCCGTCGCCCGCGTCTCTCTGCAGGTGCGCGCCAGGGTGGTGGGCTGTCAAATAAAAAGAAAAGAAAACCGTTCAAATTTCGAAAAAAAATTCATGATAGAAAGAGTAGGTGATAAACGAGTGCTCGATCACTCAGATATTTGGTGTACATAGAATATTTGGAATATCTGGAATATTTGGAATATCTGATTATTTATTTTAGAATATCTCGAATACGTTTAAAATATCGGGAATACTTTTGGAATGTCTGGAATACTTTTGGAATATCTGGGATATTTTTCAGTGTGTACATGGAATATCCAAGTGGTTCAGCCCTCGGCGATAAGTTACAAGTTTCTTCGAATTGAGTCTTACCTTGGGACTTGATCTTGTTGTTGTGCAGGTGCTTCTTCTGGCGCGCGCGCGCGTTCTGGAACCACACCTGCACGACGCGCTTGCTGAGCCCCGTGACCTGCGCGATCCGCTCCAGGTCCTGGCCGTCCGGGTTCGAGTCCAGCACGAAGTTGGCCTGCAGCACCTGCAGCTGCTCCTCGGTGAAGGTGGTCCGCACCCGCTTCGCCTTGTTCTTGTGGTAGCCCTCCGAGTCGCCGCCCTCTGCGAATCAATTTGTAAAAATACAAAACACGTCATTACATTGAATTAAACATGTGTCGGGACGGACGGTCCTCGAGCGTCTCGAGAAACAGGGCCGCGCTGCAGGGGCGGAGCCGAAGCAGTCAAACCTTTACGGGGGTCGGACTTTTTTTTTCTCCCTTGCCAGCAGCATCCTACCAACAAAAACAGTCGTGTTCTGTCTCTCCCTCCCTCCAGGTTTTCCTCTTTTTTCTTCCATTGCCCTCCCCTGGCGGGGCCGGGCGCCGGGCCGGGCGGGGAGCGGCGCGAAGGGCGGACGGGCGGCCCTCCAGGGCCCTCCAGTGGGCGGGGCCTGAGGGGGCG